TTGCCTTGGTAACTGCCACTGCTGCACCCCGCTTGGATATCCGGAACCTGTCTGCTACCTCCGGAGACCCACAGACCAGCCATGCCTTGTAGGCCTCCTCCTTCTTCAGCCTGATGGCTCCCCGAACCTCTGGTGTCCACCAGCGGGTACGGGGGTTGCCACCATGACTGGCACCGGCCACCTTGCGACCACAGCTAGCAACAGGCGCCTCAACAATCGCAGAGTGGAAAAAGGCCCGCTCGGAGTCAATGTCCCCCACTGCTCTCGGGACGCGGTCAAAGCTCTGCCGGAGGTGTGAGTTGAAGATCTCTGAAGTGAGTTGAAGACTGTACACACCACATTACACTTTACTGCTTATTTCACATAGTTGGATGTTAAACTGCATCTTGCTTCCAGTATTGGTCATTTTAGGTTAGTCCAGTCATCCAGAAACAAGACTCAGGGTAGATATTTGTTTCTGCTGTCGGACGATAGAACTAGTATGAATTACTCAGTGGAGCGCGGGTCTGGTAGACTACCTGCTATCCGTTGCTATCCTGAAGCTCTCGTCATGTTCGCTCGTCTCAACTCATGAGTGAAAAAAACAAAAGCTCTCCGCTGCTCCTTTGTCACTCAACAGAGAGAAGGAGAAAAACCTCTCACTCTATAAACTGCGATAAAGCAATACTCGTGAACCGAGTTGCTACTTTTGGCCCTTCTTTGGAGAAATAAATCTAGGGGTGAAAAATCTGTAAATCTAGCAAAAATGACAGTTGGAAAAACAGAAGTGGAACTGGAACTGAAGGAGAATATGCAATCTGATTTAGGGCTGAAACGATTCCTCGAGTACCTCGAATAATTCGAGTACAAAAAATCCTCGAGTCAAATTCTCTGCCTCGAGGATTCGTTTAATTCATATTTAATTAATTCATGGCTTTGCAATCGCCTGGGGTCATGTTTCACCCGGACCGAAATAAGTGACGCACATGCCCACTGGGCTGAATGCACACGCGAGTAGCGAATGTAACTTAACTTTCTCTTAAGCCATGGTGGACAACTTGAACCCCGATGGAGTGCGAAAAAGACAGAAAAAGTCAAAGGTGTGGGACCATTTTTCACGTCGTAAGATGGAAAACGTAGTCCAGTATAAATACTGTAAAATGGATTTAGCCTACCACAACACCACATCCTCGATGCTGCAGCACCTGTAAATGTCTCTTCTGCAAGCGGACTCGGAGCCTCTACAAGATAATGCATTTTAGCCTGTATTTCTATATATTCTGCGGACACTGTGCGACTTTTTCATTTGTAGCACTCAATTTCAGCTCACACCGTACGTCTGGTAGCAACACGTCGGACTTTTTATTGTGTTATTGATGTCTGTTGTCCCTCGGGGTTTCTGCAGGAGGACACGGGTATTTGAGTGTGGCGGAGGAAAATGAAAGAAAGTAAATAAATGTTTTGTGATCAGTATAATTTGACAAAACCACAGCAAACATGCTTTCTCGACAATCCTTGTTAGTGTGAGAAAAAAAAGTGTAGAAATTAAAACGGACGTGTGTTAATAGGGAAACAGCCGGCGAGCTGTTTGCGCCGTGAGCGGTTCGGGTTCTGTTTGGGCCGCAGCCGCTCGCAGCGCTACTTCAACAGTTATCCTCCTAGTTTTTGTCTGGCTTGCAGGCTAGCAGATTCTCGCACGAGGGGAAAATCGGCTCAGGTTGTATATTTTTTGCACAGACATTTGTTTACTGTGAAGTAAAGTTGAAGTGCTGAAGTTTTGCAAACATTTTGAATAAAACTTGAAGAATAACTGGCAATTGCTTTCTCATTTTAAGAGGCCTTTCATATTTTATAACATGCTATGTGATATAATGGTTTACAAACACAAAAGGGTAATTTATTAGAGTACTCGATTAATCGAAAAAAATATTCGATAGAGTACTCGATTACAAAAATATTCGATAGCTGCAGCCCTAATCTGATTGGTTGGAAGCGTCATGTGGGGCACTGTGCCAGCTAGATGCAGAAATGAAAGGAGAAGCGCTGCAGCCCAATATTGCCCAAAATGTTTAATCCGTTTGTTTATCCACAAGGAGGGAAAAAATTTTTCCAGGACAACTCAAAAATTTCCAGGACATTTTGCAATTCCCCCCATTTTCCATTTGTTTTCCATGACTGGAAAATTGGACTATCATTTTCCAGGTTTTCCAGGACGCGTGGGAACCCTGAATAATGGATTCAGTTAGAACCAGTGACATTCCTCTGGCGTTCTGCGCCGCGGATGCTTCCAGCGTGAACTAGGAATTAGCCCTCATTGTTTAAATTGACAATTTTTGTTGACCTTTCTCTCAGCCAAAGGGACCTGTGCAGGCTGATTTAGTCATGTAATCTTACACAGGTTATCATAAAGTAAATTATCTGGTGCACTTACCTTTTCAGCAGTACAGATGTTGTTCTGACTCATAATATGAGGTGAATACCCAGAGGTTGGGTATGTCACACTTGAATAAGTGTTTTTGTGGTTGTTCCTTAGAGCTGAAACTAGCCTGAGGCAACGCCTTGAGGAACCAATCGCATGTGCTATTTGTCTGGTCAGGGCAGTCTTTAGTGGAACAGGTGGTGGGACTTTATGTGGTAGAGCAGGTGAAGCACTATCTCTCCTCTTCTCTGGAGCTGAGTCATTGAAGACCTCGTCGGATTGCTCCCCCAGTGTGGTGGCTCTAAGATGTACTGCGCAGAGCTCCTCAGGAGCCATCACTGGAAGAGCCTTCTCCATCACCCTGAGGGTGGAGGGCTCAGAGTGGTGTCGGGGGGACGGTTTGGGTCTGTGGGTAAGTTTGGTTTTGGGTGAAAGATTTAGGCTTGGAGAGGAGGGAGTTGGGACATCTAGTTGAGGGATTTGTAAAGAAAGCCTTCTGGTGTGATTCCTGGAGGATCTTGATCTGGACCTGGGTTGGAACTTCCAGCCTAGGGGATCATGTCCGGTGATGACAGAAGTTGGAACAGGAGGGGATGAGGAGCAGGAGGAAGAAGAAGCGGAAGAGGAGGAGGAAGATTGACTTTGAGAGAAACAGATCCCAATTGGTGGGCAGGAGTAGCGCTTGAAGGAAGAGTGTGATGATGCTTGGAGTTGTTTCAGGGACACTCTTCTCTGTGCAGGTTGAGGTTCCTTAACGGTCTTCTTCACAGTGATGACAGAAGTCCTGGATTTACAAAAGTCAACTGACAAATATCTCTGATGAGAACATGTGTTAGCATCGATCAACGTTGCTGATAAAGGTCGCTCTTTAGAGCCCTTAACTTGTGCTGCAACAAACTGTGGCCCTTGGGGCTCAATGTCGACTCCGTTCTGAGTTCTGGCACCAACAATGTAATAATCTGACTCGCTTTTACTCTTCTGGCCACACTTGGCATAGTTGCCACTAGGGGGCACCATATGCACAGGACGTTCATTCATCTTCTTGCAGAGAGACGCTGTAGAAAAAAACCTGAAGAGAGAAATTGGGAGGACATTTGACATACTTTCATTTCAAAAAGAGGAACAGCAGACGCCCATCCTGACTTTTCAAATAAAGTTTCACAATCTTTTATTTTCTCACAACAGATGTTCTTGCTCAGGAGTCTGCAACAAGATTTTGGCACAATGTTGAGGCGCTACCCAAATGTACCTAAACGGTGTTGTTTGTCCCTTAATTTTTTAGGATAGGCGATTTAATCAGGAAAAATTAAATATTCAATATTCTATCATCATTTCACCAATTTTACTATGAATAAATA